GCAGTGCTCCTCCTGTCCCTCCTTGCACAAAGGCGGAGGTAGCGGTCCTGATGCTGGGTTGTTGCCCTCCTACGGCCTCCTCCATCTCTCCTGATGTACTGGCCTGTGTCGTGGTAGCGCGTCCATGCTCTGGACACTATGCTGACAGACACAGCAAACTTTCTTGCCACAGCTTTCATTGATGTGCCATCCTGGATGAGCTGCACTACCTGAGCCACTTGTGTGGGTTGTAGACTCTGTCTCATGCTACCACAAGAATGAAAGCACCGCCAGCATTCAAAAGTGACCAAACCATCAGCCAGAAAGCATAGGAACTGAGAAATGGTCTGTGGTCACTACCTGCAGAACCACTCCTTTATTGGGGATGTCTTGCTAACTGCCTATGCTTTCCACCTGTTGTCTATTCCATTTGCTCAACAGCATGTGAAATTGATTGTCAATCTGTGTTGCTACCTAAGTGGACAGTTTGATTTCACAGAAGTGTGATTGACTTGGAGTTACTTTGTGTTGTTTAAGTGTTCCCTTTATTTTTTTTGAACAGTGTATTTAATATTGGATTGAAAATACAAGATCATATACAATGTAATTGTAATTGAAGACTACGAAATGGAAGCACAAAACAATTTGTAAACTGCACACTGTATGTATATGGAAGATGTTTTGTTTGTTTATGTTTGTTTTAAAAACCAATAAAAATTTATATATAAAAAAGAGTTGTTAACCTAATCCTACATAGCTTTTCTCTGGTAATATCACACTACTAACTAGAGCATACAAAATATTTGCTAGACCAATACTTGAATACAGCTCATCAGTCTGGAACCCACATTACGTATCTGATATTAGCACAGTTGAGAAAGTCCAGAAATATTTCACAAAAAGAGTTCTCCTCTACTCGTAGAATACCTTATGCCACCAGAGTTGAAATTCTAGACCTAGAAAACCTTGAATTACGCCGTCTTCGGTCTGATCTAAGTATGGTATATAAAATCATACATTGCAATGACTTACCTGTCAATGAATACTTCAGCTTCAATCATAACAACACAAGAGTACACAATAGATTCAAGGTTAATTGCCCCAAGAGTACACAAGGTTAATTGCACCAAAGTTGATTGCAGGAAATACAACTTCAGCAACAGAGTCGTCAATGACTGGAATACTCTACCTGACTCTGTGGTTTCTTCCCCAAACCCCAAAAACTTTAACCTTAGACCGTCTACTATTGACCTCACCCCTTTCCTAAGAGGTCTGTTGGGGGCGTACATAAGTGCACCAACAAGCCTATCATCCCTGTCCTATTGTTTCTTTTATTTTTCTTATATGTACCCATTTCATGTATTCATAACTATGTTTTAACTTATACCTGTTATCTTTTAAGCAATTGACAAATCAAAATAAAAAATAAAATAAATAAAACTCTGAAATTCCTTTACATCTGTAATGCATGCCCATTGCTCCATTTTCCTTGCACATTTTATCCTCACCTTCTGCAGATTGAAGGCACATTCAACATGGAGATCCTGGAGTTATTATTGCACCTTTACCTATTGCTCAATTTAAAGCAGCCAATACTGAGCACTGAGCAGCCAATCAGCACTCATTCTCTCTGCTTTAGGTTGGTCAATTACAGTGCTGAAATCACCATGAATTTGTCTATATGGACTTGTATTTACACAGGTGGTCTTTCTCAGATTACCATGGCAATTGGGTCTGGAATTTCTTTCACCAACTGATGCAGTTATAAAGCATGATGCGACATGACTGAATAGCTTAGCAATGGCAATCCCAGCATTCCCCATTGCCATTGTTAAAAATTGCAAGTTTTAGGCAATTTAGGTAACGACCCACAACTTCCTTCAGCTTCCAACAAGCAAAATCTGTGGGGAAATTGCAAGTTTTAGGCAGCTCGCAAACAGGATGGCGAACAGGTATGTGGGTGAAGGAGTGTGTGCAAGAGTGCAGGGGTAGCCATCAAGGTGGGTGGATGCTGTGGGTAGGGGATATAACTAGGCCACTCAGGAGAAAAAGCTGCTGGACTGCAAGTGACCTACAGAATGACTTGCGAACTTCCCTGCCTGTTTCCACACTGACTGCTTGTGAAAAGTCAGCAGAAAGGGTTTCAAATGATGATTGTGTGACATGAGATGCTGCAACCATCTTAAGTGTTAGCCAATTGCCAACCATGTGGATCATGATCATGTAACTTCAGGGGTGCTGGGACTTCCTTAGAACTTCAAGGACCAGTTTTAAGGAGCATTTGTTCAAAGCTGTTGTAATTACAAATGGTCACTGAATGAGTGGTTGTTAATCAAGGGCTACCTATATTGATCTGGAGGTCTGCAGAAGCATTTTTCCTGTTAGACTACTATGATATGAGTTGCAAGGTAAGGTTGACTTTGAAACTGCTCCCACGTGTAAAGGTGCCTCAGAATTCTTTCTTTAACCTTGGTGACATATCAGCATGCAGGAGGTATTGTTGAAAATCTGAATATTGTTATTAAACTTGCAAACAATCTAAGACATTTAGGGCTTTTTTCCAGTCTGAGAATGGGCACTCCAATTAAAAAAATACCCATTAGCTCTGGGAAAATGTGCTGAAATTGGGGTTTCCTTCAAAAAAGAAAAAGAGAAGTGCTGGTTTGCAAAGAACAATAGATACAAACTTTTTACTACAAAATACTGGGTTTTGATCCATACAGTGCAATGGGTGTTGCGTAATAAGCAAGAGTACGTAAAGCAGTGTGGGCTTAGTAAATGTGATAAAGCACTTTAGTTGGCATAAGAAGCCAAGTGGGAGCAATTTAACTTTGTATAGACATTATTGATTGATTCTCAATAAGCAAGCTGTTCAAAAATCTAGTTTACTCTGATGTCCTGTCAGTTCCTTCCTATACAAAGCAAATTTCCCAAACTCTATTTAAAGGCATTTTCACATTGATTACGTTTACAAAACACATTTTCCCTTGCCTTATTTAATTAGTTCAATTGGGTTAATTAATTGGTTAATTATGGGTTCATATAATACTCTGAATCACAAAATAAATACACTAGCAAAAATAGTACTGTCCAATTTGTAGAATGATGTTTAAATATATCAAAAATAGGATTGGGAGCATTATGCTGATCATCTGTGGATTTTCAAGACATCTATAACTGAGGCCTGTTTTGGATTTTAAATGAGGGGGGAGAGGGGGAGGGAGGGAGGAATGGAGGGTGGGGGAGTGGGAGAGGGAGATATATGTGTTTCTGTCTATCTATATCTATCTATCTATCTATCTATCTATCTATCTATCTATCTATCTATCTGCCATACATTTGGATAGGACAGTGGGAAGTAAAGGAACTATGAAATCCATGCACAGTTACTGTTTATTCTGTGTAAATCCAACACTAAAGTGATCTCTGATCCCTTCATAGTAATCATCAAGAAAGATATTCAGTCAATGCACGAGTATAGAATTTTAGTTACATACTCTTTTTTTAAGTGCTTTTTTTTTCAAGTCCTATATTACAAATCTTTGACTTGTGGTCAAACCTGTGGTTACAGCTGTGATGCAGCTATTATTATCTCTGACATACACTTTTTTTCCTTTGATTTTGTGATTTTTCTGGCCAAATATTTCTCACAAGTGTGAGATGGAATACATAGGTTTAAATAGTTTAAATCCCAAAGAATCTCTAAAGAATCTCTTGTTTCCCCCAGAAACAAAGGGAAAAAGGAAACTTCTTGACCCTAAACATCACAATCTTTCTGCTATCAGGAAATAAGTTTGGCTCCATCTACACAAATAATGTTTGTTCCTATTGTAAATAATATGCCTTATCATGAACCAAAATGGAACAGTTGCTTCTAAGAGTCAAACAAATTCCATCACCTTTACTGGAATAGCTTTAGGTGCATAAATGTGTCCCAAAATGTGACTTCCCAATCTGTATTAAAAAGCAGAAAAAGTCTTAATATGTCTTTTATGCCCTGATAAAGAAAAAAATATTTATAAATTTATATAAATTTGGACTGGACATAGCTATTATATAACTATGTCTATTACTGGAGTTGTGCTAAAAATAATCATGATTGTTCTAAGTGAAAAACTGTTTCATGTCCTGGAGATTGCCTGTCAAAAATAGTGGTGTAGTAATAATATAAAGAAGAATTCAGGCTCCATATCAGCAGCTGACATCCCAGGTCAAATACTAAGTTGTAAACCAGGGTTAGCATCTTTACCAGGCAAGCCAATCTGAGGTACAAAAAAAAAAAAGAGTACACCATATCATTTCTAGCTGCTATATCTGCTATTCCCTCAAGTTTGCAATAGCTGTATTTAATCACAACACAAACATGTCCAGCAAACTTTTTTCCGCTGCCTATCCATGAAATTGGCTTTTCTAAGCCCAACCTTGTTGGGATTTTTGTTGTTTTTTTCTTGGTTGTACACTGCCCAGAATCTCACAACTGGTGCAGCTTGCAAAGGCTATAAATAAATATATAAAACAAAAGACAAAGAAGTTTCTTTGACTTCCAAAGTACTCATGAAAAAGTGGCGTTTTTCCATAATACAAACATTAAGACATGAGTTCCTGTCATTTTATCAGGAAAAAAAATTGCCAAAAACTTGGAGTCTGTTGAAAGTTTGCTGCTTGAGATAATACACAAAAATGACAGCCCACCCAGACTGAAACCACACAGTAAATTTAAGGTTTCCGATAAAAAGGGTGATGAGAGCAAAACGGTGGTAAGTAAGAAATATTCACCTTCTGTGCAAAGTTGTTCTTCTCATTTTGTTATTTTATATCGGTGTTTTTGTAATCTTAATGGATGTTCATTAGAACCTTCCTGTAAATATGTTCCTTTGAACACTCTTACTTCGTCCAGGGAGGGATGGGGGATTTGGAAATCGCTTCCTGCCCTGTGATTTACTGCTCTTCCTGCCAGCGTCGAAAAGAGAAAATAGTGCATATATCCTGCAGCTGACTCGCATGACAGGGTAAAGGGCATACTATACTTAGGAAAAGCCCCGTCGATCGCTGCAATATTTTCAATTCTCCACACATGGAATTTCTCAATTTCGGAAACTACCGATGGAAGCAACAACCCATTCTCTAACAATCCCCGCCCTTTCCGAGCAATTCGTTCTCTCATTAGCTGCGGTCCCTCGAACGGTGTACAAGCACCTACTCAAAAATAAGCTTGTTAATGTTGTAAGCGTAAGGTAGAACACCGCAATATTTTCTAAGAATAGAAAAAAATACGAGTTAATTATCGGCTTCTTCAAAAGAAGCAAAAGAAAACAAAATAAAGCCATTCTAACGCACTACCTAATCCCCTGCGTATTTAGCTTCTCATCCCTACAAGTCAAAGATTGAGTTTCTCCGGAGCGCCGTTTAAAGGATAGACGAAGGTAAGAAAAAATAAACTTTTTTTTTTAACTTAAAGCTTGCTCGGCGGCGGATTGTTGAATATTATTCTTCCAATTAAGCAAACTTCCCAGGGACAGGAATGAATCGGGAGTTCTTTTACTTGCAGAAATTATAAATACAGTGTTATGTATCGCTTCTAGTTTTTAAACTAACTCAAAAACGATGGCGCGAAATAAAATGGGGAACTAAAGATAACAAACAATGTTTGAAAGGCGGACATTATCTTCGTGTATACATTGTTTCCCAAATCTGGGTAAATTGTTCCAAATCAGTCAAAAATAACTTTTTTCTGAGTAAGGATACACAAACCCATTACCCAATCTCAACAGGGACATTTTGAGAAGGATTTTGGGCAAAGAAAGAAAATGTTTTGGAAACACTAATGTATACAATATTAGATGCTTCATCTTTTCTTTAAAAAAGAGTGTTTCTTTTTAAAAGTATCGGCTATACCAAGGATGTATTCAAACTTCATGTTGGTGGATAATAGTATTTTGACACAGAAAACCACTTTCCTCAAGTGGAAAAGCCTAAAATTAAACACTGTTGCTGTTGTTTTGATCCAATCCCTAAAGCAGGGGTGTCCAACCTTGGCAACTTTAAGGTGTGTGGACTTCAACTCCCAGAATTCCCCA